TTATTTAAAAGACCACAAAAATTTTTCTTCATATTTTGAATCGGTAGTCAAATTTGTGGGTGTTACGTTTTCCATGTAATATATGAGTTCCAATAGTTTTTTTCCATTTCACTAATCAGAATAGATAAGTTTTATAATTATTAACGCAATTAGGAGAAACAGGAATGAAGGGATTCTTAATAATAGATTTCTAAACTTGCAGGGCTTATCGATCCCGGAAAACGTGTGGATAAACTGTCGGTGTATAATAGATCCCGGGCAACGCCAGGCTAATCTGTTGGTATATAATAGATCTATCCCGGGCAACGCCAGATAATCTGTTGGTATATAATAGATCCCGGGCAACGCCAGATAATCTGTTGGTATATAATAGATCCCGGGCAACGCCAGGCTAATCTGTTGGTATATAATAGATCCCGGGCAACGCCAGATAATCTGGTGGTATATAATAGATCGTGGGCAACGCCAGGCTAATCTGTCGGTATATAATAGATCCCCGACAACGCCAGGCTAATCTGTTTGTATATAATAGATCCCGGACAACGCCAGATAATCTGTTGGTATATAATAGATCGTGGGCAACGCCATGCTAATCTGTTGGTATATAATAGATTCCGGACAACGCCAGGCTAATCTGTCGGTATATAATAGATCCCCGGCAACGCCAGGCTAATCTGTTGGTATATAATAGATCGTGGGCAACGCCAGGCTAATCTGTTGGTATATAATAAATTATTAATATTTTTTTTATTTGGATGATTTATGTGATGAGAATTGCATGAAAATTAATTTTATTGTAGAGGTTTGTTAAAAATCAGGATGTTACCTCTTCTATTGATAAGTTTCATCATTCATTTGTGATTTACTTGCAATTTTTTAAGAATATAAGTTTTTCATAATTTTATTCCAGGTAACTTGAGTCAATGCTTTAGTTTTTAATCTTATTAAACATGCCTAGCATTCACGGACCAAAAAATAAGAATATATAAAAACTAATGTTTTTTAGTTTTAATGAATAATGGAAATAAAGGAATTAAAACACAAATCTTCTATCCTAAGTTAAATTTTCGTTATCGATTCCTTACAACTTTATTGATTTTTTTCTGCAGGCATGCAACTCAATGTCCCGAGCCAAATGGGCACAACGAACAGCGTAGGGACTTTAAATCAAGGTGCTTTAAATCAAAGCTCTTTGAACCAGGGCCTCATGAGTCAACAATCATTAAATAATGACCCGATGATTGAAATTTCAATAAATCAAGACCCGTTGAATCGAGCACCTTCAAATACATTGAGTCACACTCCCCTAGACCGACGAAGTTTACATAATAGTAATTTTGCCCCGGAAAATTATCATAATCAAGGACAAACTGCAAGTGATAATCGAAAACCGGGTCTTCAGAGACAAGGGTCCTTAGGACCAGTTCAAAGTTACATTTCGGGCCCGAAATTTCAAAGCGCGATGGGGAAAAGCTTTGACTCTAACTCGGGTCAGGTCCCAAGCCTTGTAAGTCAGACCTCTGGTTTATTGGGTCAACCACATGATGCCTCATGGGGCCCAATGAATGGTGTATTGGGCCATCGACAGACCTTTGGGTCAAGTAAGTGATCAAATCTTGTTTTAGACCCTAATGGATGTAATACTTTAGTCACCCTTACATCAGCAGGCTTGTAATCCTAGAAAGAAAACGGATCCCAGTAAACGCTTGAAAACTGTTGCATCCAAACGCTTGAAAACTGTTGATTAAAAAGATGCTCTAAAATTTTGACTTCACGTCTGTGATTGGTCGGTCCATTTTCAAACCTGAATGGTAATCGCCAATAAGCTAACTTTTCCTTAATATTTTTCACAATATGCCAAGTACATCAGCCTATGCGTAATTCAGCATTCAGGTTTCAAATTAAGCTATCCAATAACAGACGTGAAAATTTAATTTATGGAAGTAGTAGAACATGTACGGTATGAGTAATAATTTGTTGTGAAGTAAATTTGGTATAAGTTTTCTCTCGGCAGCATAAACGAAGCTCGTTCATGAGGTTCAGTAACCCTTATATCCGTTCAGGTTGAACCATTTTCTATCGGTATCAAGAGAAAGTTAATAGTTAAACACTGACTTCAGGGTCCATCTAAGTCAACTATCATCAAACATTATCACCTATATAAGTTGAGCGTAAATTCAGCCCAACAAGACGTAAGTTGAATGTTACTGAATATGTAAGATCGATTTTTCCAGTTTTTTTTTGTCCCGGTTTCTGTATTAAAAGATTTAGCAAGCCTGTATTCGCAGGAGATGCAGAAACCAAATAAATAAAGTGAAAACGATATAAATAAATAGATAACTAAAATAAAATAAATGGATAGAAATTTTTCCCGATAGGAGACGCAATCAAATTTGCATCGAGTTCGTCAAAATTTGAAAGAGAATTTTTTCAAATTGAGTCAGAAACTTTGTGATTGCCTCGTCATATAATAATTTTAAATTTTGTTTAATGCAATCGCTATTTTAAAACAGCCACAATTTAATCTCAAATAACAAATAAAGATTTATTTATTTATATAATCTCATTTATTTATAATCTCATTATTTAATTTATTACAATATATAAATAATATAATCTCAACAAATAAATAATTGGCAATAACTTATAACTATGACTATTCTCCTGACTACAGCTAACTATTACAGCGCCATAATTCAAACGCTTGTAGAAGTCAATAATCTATACGTATAATATATAGTTTCTAGTTATTTATATACAGTGCATCCTTCGATTCTGCATCCAATAATCAATGATATTGTTATGTCCCTATGGAATAAATTCCTATCGCCTCAATTGTACCTAGTGCGGCTGATGGCTCGTAGGAATAACATTACGTTACGTTAATCGATATATTAACGAATTACTGCAGTCGCTGCACTCCGAGAAACGAATGGGTTAATTGACCCCCTTTTGCTGGGTCAAACTGACTCAGGATGACCCATGCAAGGGCAAAAACTGCATCGTTATTGTGACAATGTCACACAAATTTTTCTGGTTTGTTTTGTTTGATTAATTATTAAAAAGGGAATGTTTCTACTTAATTTTTTGCGCTATTATTTCCTTGCACATGGCATTGTGAAATATTTTTTTTGTGAATCAACGAGGTCATGAAAGGCTTTCGGAATTTATGAGATCATGAGAATTCATTATGCTTAAAAAGATTGAATGTAGGATTTCCTGAGGCAATAAGAAACTTATTGAGATAATTCCTGAGGTAATAAGAAAGTCATTGGTTCGCAAACTCTGAGGAAAGTGCGCCTAGAAACTAACCATATTAAAACAATGAAAAATACAATTTTATTAATATAAATATTTAAGCAAAAAAAAAACTCATGTATTCTGGACTGGCTATAATTACGAAGAAATGTTTGCTACTGAAACAAACTAGTTTGAATTTTGCAAATATATTTTGACAGAACGGAAAACTGAGGGCCATGAACAAAACTATTATCGAACAAACAGGACAGGGCGGGCCAATAACAGGCCAAAATTGTTATTTTTGGCAAACAAGAAAATATGGATTTTCTGTGACGAAGTCCGAAATTAAATTAAAAATTAAATTAATTAATTAAATTGAAAATAATAAGTTTGTCATATTGTCTGCAAAGTGACATACCTTACCCACAACACAAGCAAAGAGGGGACGTAGCACTGATATGTCCATTTGTGGAGCCGAACTTGGTTTGGACGACAAATACATTGGCTAAAAGTGTATCGTTATTTGGTCAAAGTCACAATCATTTCTCTAACTGAACGATGTCACTCTTTTCTAGATGATGCCTTATTTAGTTATTGTTGTTTTACTCGTATTAATTGAATCCCTGAGCCTAAATTTAAACTCCCTTTAGATTACAAATGCTTTGTTAAATATATGTGCGCAGGTTTCCTGAAATTGAGTACGTGCTTTACATGTTGATTTGAATTTTTTAGTACGTTGACAAGCTTAAAATTTTTATTTTTAATAAACTTGTAAATTGAGCTCCTAATTTTATGCATTGGCAAAAAATGTGTGATAGCATGAGTAGTTTTTGTTTTGTTGAGTATCTCAGCTTAAAACTTATATTTATGATATTTTGAAACGAATTGAATGTTTCATGACGAGTTGAATATTTTAAGACTAATTGGATATTTTGAGGATATTATTAATATATTATAATATATTTTAAAATATATTATTTTAAAATATCCAAAAATATTTGGATATTTTTAAACTTTAATATTTCAAAATGATTTTATTAAATCGCGTTAATCAAACTTTCAGCGGTAAATCCGTAACTTCTGTTTAAAGTTTCACTCCGTTTTAGTGTTGAAAATGAATAAAGTTATTTTTAAAAATCCCAGAGCTTCGAAATCACGTTAAAAAGGTAACTAGATTTATTTACTGACTTTTTCAACATTTTTCGTTGGAATTCATCATCGTTAACATAGTTTAATATTTTCAGGCATCGTTAGTATGCACAGAAATTCATGTAACATTTTACATGTTTTGTATATTCAAGTTAAAACAACATACACATACATAAGTGCAAAGATGATCAAACTACAAAATTACGTCATAAATTTCGAACGGGAGCTTCCGTATAAATGAACTAAAGAATAATGTTTTCGAAAATGGCATACTATCAATTTGTTCACATCGCCAGTTACAGCGATCCAAGAACTCGTTTGGAAGATAAATAGCTTACTGACTAAATCAGATAAATATATCGTTGAACTTGATTGTCTTTCTGCTGACCACGAAGATTAAACTTGAATAGATTGGGCAACTATTTTCGTTTTGATTATTTGAATTTTATTTATTCCGCCATCATTAAAACATTGGTCCGGAAATTATCGTCAGTTATTGAATCAAACAAACGGGTAGTTCATAAAATATTATAAACATATGTTCCCCGGTCTTAGCTGGTTCCTAATGTATTATTATTTATATTATTAACATAATATAATTTTCCTCTCAGCTGGAGTCCCGGGGCCTGACGTCGACCTGAGCCAGCTGAGTGAAGAGGAGCGAGCCATCATTGAGAGCGTCATGGCTAAAGCTCAAGAGCTGGAGACTGCACCAGCTGACAGCCAGCACCTGACGTGAGTACACCTGAGACTGCACCAGCTGACAGCAAGTACACCTGAGACTGCACCAGCTGACAGCAAGTACACCTGAGACTGCACCAGCTGACAGCAAGTACACCTGAGACTGCACCAGCTGAGCACTAGTAAGATGTCCCACAATAACCATTGACTTGAGACTACAGGTGGCTAAGCGACTGATAATTTCGATCGTTTGACATTTCTAGTGTAAGGAACAAAAGGACTCCTAGATTTTCGGGATTCAAATTTGCGTATCAGTGTTTACTTATACGATATATCGGTTTCTGCCAAATGCGTATCTTAAATTACTAATTACCAGGGGACTTTCATCTGTCCCCCGGTAGCCTCAAGTTCCCTATAATAAGATTCCGTGGTCTACCATTTAAAATGCTTCCACAAAGGACATATGAATTATATAATTCGTCATTTTCATGTAATACGTCACTGTATTATATATGTCGTGCCGAAATCACTGAATTGCCGATTCTATGGAATCAGTTTGCCGAATCTGTAGAATAAGCATTTCGTTGCTGATTCAGGTAATCGGACGTTAGAGTTAGGACAAAAATCGACGGCTAGAGTTAAAAAATATAACTCAGTACTCACTGCAGTGAGTGACAGAGCGCGCATTTTCTCGTCGACGACTACAATTGAGGTCACGGACACACGGACGGACAGACGGACAGACAGACAGACAGACGGCGGACGGCCATGGCGAGCACAATAGTGCATTTTTTCCATAAACGAGAAAATGCGCTAAAAAGGTTAGGTCAAGTGCGCTCAAGTTCCTTTATATTTAAATATGATAAAAAAACAGAACTTGGCTGACTGACCTAACCCCAGAATCCTAAAGTATAGAAATGCTGATTCTACAGATTCGGCAAACTGGCTGCGGATTACATGGAAGCTGCAATTCCGCAATTTCGCCGCAATTTCGCCATATATAAAATAATATATTACATCCATATAATACGTCATGTCCATATTAGAGTCGACGTACTATGTATCGACAGCCTCTCCTCCAGTCCTGCCAAAATATGCTGCTAATGCTCAGGCAATTATAAAAGGCATGAGTTAACTAGCCAGAAACAGTTTTAGTAAATTGAATACTTAAGCTCCTCTTTTTAGTTGACCTGCCTCAAGACCATGAACTTTTGAAGCACCTTTAATAATCGAGGCGGGGGTAAGTGGCCTGAAATTTCGGGGTTCGGCCAATAGCTTATCATGGGGCCATTCTAATGTAGAAAATTGTGCAATAAAATCTACTCCTCCTCCCATTACAACGCTTTGCATGGGGATGCTTATACCTCTATGAAATTCCTCTCCTTATTCCTCTGTTATCCCTTTTTGTTATTCATCCCTTATATTCTTTTCCTGAATATCTCTCTGTCATTCACATCTATTATTCCTCTCTGTTATTCATCGCTGTTATTCCTCTTTGTCGTTCCTCTCCGTGTTATCTGTTCTGAATTCGGTGTTAAACAACCTCCTTTTTTCGTGGCAACTCATGAAAAATAATAACCTGATTCTACTATCTCAGCTATCTCGAGCTGTCGAGCATAGAATATCGTTGAATCTTGACTGAATCTCTCAACAGTTCCAATCCCTGTTTGTCTTTAACGAGAGAAAAGTTATTTTGAAAGTTCGGGATTGAGTGGTTTAGATCGCTAAAATTGGAGCAGCGAGTGGTAGGTTCGAAACCCCTAACCAGTATTAGAAATTATGGTCGCCATCGGCATACGATCAGATAGTTTAGGAACGGCGTCAGGCTAACATGACATAATTTAGAGCTGGAAAGAATATAATAATGTTATTAGGTGGCACAATCAAAAGCTGACGCCATCATAATTTTATTTAAATGGCCTAGTCAAAGCCGGCTGTTCTATATTGTTATTATATGCTATAAACGACAATATTTTATTGTTCGATTTTGTTGTATCTTTACTCCTTATAAGCCATATCCAGCTAAGCTGTATTATTCGCAACACACACTCACCACACACTCATCACACACTCACCACACACTCATCACACGCTCACCACACACTCACCACACACTCACCACACACTCACCACACACTCACCACACACTCACCACACACTCACCACACACTCACCACACACTCACCACACACTTACCACACAGGCTGGGGGCGCCACAGGAGCTAGACTCCGTCATCTTTAGGAGGATTTCTTCCCCCCCTTTCTCCCCATCCTCCAAACTCCCCTCACTCCCCCCTCTCCATATAATCCCCTCCCCTCTCTTTCCGCCCCATATTATTTTTTCATTCTTCCCCTTTCCCTTTACTCCCCCCTTTCAGTCTCGTACATTCCCGAACCCATTCACTGCCCTACTACACTGATACTCCTTCATTCTGGATGTTTACACTTTTCATTCCTGTAACTCCTCCCCATCTTTCTCCATCTATTCTCTACACTCATCCATTCTCCTATATTCACACACTTTTCATTTCACACGCAATCAATTTCAATCTTCCCGTCTTCCACTCTTCACGATCCCTTAACTCCCACTTCTCTCCTCCATTTCAGTTCTCCCACTCTTCCCCCTCTTCCATTTCAATGCCGCTTCCATCCCCACCACTCCTCTCATTTTATCCTTCATTTAACTCAAAAATTTCCCTCTAACTTTGTTTCTTCATTTCCATTCATTTTTCCCTCTTTTGCTCTCCATCACTCCCTTTCCAGCACTTCACACTCTCACTTCTCACTCAAAATTTCACTGATAAAATTTCTTTCATCGCTCTCTTTGCTTTCCTCTCTTTTGCCTCACACATTTTCCGCAAAATTTCTCTTTCTTTCACTTTAATGTTTCATCAATTTTCATTTTTTCCCACTACCCCGTGCTTATATTTTCACTTTGCCTCTGTTCCCTTTTTCACATTGACTTACCCTTTTATTTCACTCTCATATTTCAACACAGCCGCTAATGACCCAATCGATCTCTGTAAAGCCTAGATATTATGTTCACACATGGTATTTGAACACACCTATATTTATTCACTGTCCATGAAATTTAATATAAACAAATAGAATGCAATTGTAATTGAAAAAATTAATTGTCAATAAAAAAGTTTTGCCTAAAAAATTACTGCCAATAAAAAATTATTGTAAGAAAAAAATTTAGTGTCAATAAAAAATATTGTTAATAAAAAAATTTATAGCGAATAAAATTAAATGTCACTAAAATTAACCGATATTAAAATTAATTGCCAGTGAAACTAATTCTCCGGTCTTCAATAAAAGTGTTTAAAAGAACAAATTCTGTTAACAGATGCTAAGATAATCTCATTATTGTGCACACTTTATCTGCATATTCCAACGCCCACCCATCTTCACCTCTCATTTCACACTTTCTCTTTCACTTTCCCACTATCTTCTGCGCTCTTTAATTTCTCTATAATTAATTTTTTAATTTATTTCATTTTATTTAATCAAGTCACGTAAAAACCGATCAAGCGATACATTTTTTTATGATCGCGTAGAAAAAGTTTTGCGTCATTCAAAAAATAAAAAAAAACAAATAATAATAATAATAATAATAATAATAATAATAATAATAATAGCGGTTTCAGCGTTATTAGGCCGTAGGCCTGTCGCCGATTCTTAACATCGCAGAACATTCACAGCATTTTGCGGTCTCGAACTCGCAACGCACTGCTACAATTCTGCTTTTAATAATATACGTTTAAAAATTACTTTTTAAAGACAACACTTCCAAAGAATCCAGTATCTCCAATCTTACAGATGTACAATGAATTTCTCATCTAATTTTCTGAAATAAAAAAAATTATTTTTCAATTTTTCAATATACCTATATAAATTTTTTAATATATACATTTTTTTCAAAATTATTTATTCTGTTAATTGATTCATGCATTGTCTCTGACTTCACACAAGTGTGCAAAATTTCAGATCATTTAGACAGGTAAAAGTGTGTCAAATATCAGTTATAAGATTTGTAGCTAACAAAATTATTTTTTCAATTTTTTTACTATTGGAAAAAAAATTAAATTTTAAAAATCTTTTATTTTGACATTTGATACATGCATTGTCTCCAACTTTAAACAAGTGTGCAAAATTTCAGACCGATAGGATAATTAGAAGTGTATTAAATTTTGATTACAAGATTTGTAGCAGACAGACAGACAGACAGACAGACAGACAAACAAGAAGTGAAGTTAAAGAGAAGTGTTGTAAAATGTTTCAAAATTAACTTAAATTCATACCTTAAACTAAACACAAATTTATCACATTCTAATCTCATTAACTATTTCATATTTTAATCTCATTAAGATAACAAAATATATTGCAAACATCTCTTCTTGAGGTATATTTAAGTATCGGTAAAATTGCCCAACAAATATTATATGTAATAATATCATATTAACGTGTTTAAAGTAAGGAAAAAATCAACCAAATTGCATTGGTGCAGCAAGCGCCCGTCGCCGCGTTGACTAGACGAGATCTGCAGCCGCGGCGTCTGCCGCTGCTGCGTTGCAGCCACGATCTTAAAACTTTATTGCACTCACTCAAAGAAATAAATAGGACTTTGTCAATGTGATGATTAATTTTAATAATTTACTGAAATAGGCTTTGGCCCTCTTTTTGCCCTTGTGTGGGTCAACCTGACACAATTTGTGGCCCGGTAAAAGGGCGGCTCAGTACACTGTCTACTTTTTGTTAGTGACGTGGATAAGAAAGTGTGTCACTATTTTGGCAATGGGACCCAGTCTTATTTCTGAGTGTAGGGTGCTAGTTTCATGCAAGAACAACTGGTGTAATGATTATAGGAACTATTCAAAAATTATTTTTTAAAGTCTTTCATTTATAGATGCCGCTATAATTTTGTCGAGCCTAAAAATATGTTTTTCATTCTCAAAATCTGTTCTCAAACGCTTGATTATGGCTGAAAAACTACTCAAATAAATAGATGTCTGAAACTGTTGAGCTCAGTCAGTTATGGACTTTCAAATCCA